TAACTGCATTTTACTGTATAAGTGTGTCCCCATTAAGGTTGTCAAATGAAGTCAAGTTTCATTTCATTTCACTTGTTTGTCTTTGCTCTAGACTTTGTCCTTGAATCTTATGTCTCCACTTTTTTCACTTTTATTGTTGATCTTTCTTTTTTAACTAACTGAAAAACTGTGCAGAAAATCTGGATCAGTGCAAACAGCGAGTGGTAAAGACAAACTGTCCATGTCCCTACTCAGATATTACAACTACAGCACTTCCTACCACGCCCATCGCCTCCACCCTTCCCATGACCACGTTTGGTGCAACCACCACAGCACCCATCACCATACCTGGCACCACACTGGCTGCAGACTGTGAGGAGGGACAGCAGGACTGTGCCGATGAGACAGAGGCTCCCGATGACTATGACACAGCAACAGGTAAACTTCCCAGTCTCAGTTCACTCAGTTCTAATCATGTTGAACACTCCCCCTTAGGTTTCTTCTTTCTATTTCTGTAGTTGTTGGTTCTTTCATATATACTGCGCTGGTATAGCTTCCTGATTTTGACAGAAGGGAAACGGATTGGACATGGATCAAAACATCCTTCATCTTCCCTCTCACTGCTAAAGTTCTGACCGAGCTGTGTACTGTAATATCTTGCTGGGTCGGGAGACCAGAGCTTGTCTTTTTCTCTTTTATTGTCACACACACAACTGTACCAACAGCACTGTGAACTCTAACAATCCTCGCCAACCCTGAACTAAATACATCCTGCCCAGAGGGGTATCATGGGGGATCCCAGAAGGTACTTCCTCCATAAGGCAATCTGGGGGGCCCCGTAAAGTGTCTCTCCACCCACAACACTACAGTATTTTTCTGTTTAACTTTGTGTACCAACAGCACTGTGAACTCTAACAATCCTCGCCAACCCTGAACTAAATACATCCTGCCCAGAGGGGTATCATGGGGGATCCCAGAAGGTACTTCCTCCATAAGGCAATCTGGGGGGCCCCGTAAAGTGTCTCTCCACCCACAACACTACAATATTTTTCTGTTTAACTTTGTTTTTTGTTCTACTTAAAATTAAGGTACATCTTTTTCGTCTTCCCTTTTACTGTCATACATCATCAACTCCTCTATTCCTATATTTTAAACTCTGAGACCATGGACTAGGAAATTAAAAACATATGAAAAACCTTTATTTCCAGAAACTACAATGGCATCCTTTGCATCCATATTTTCTGAATTGCTGTGCAACCTGACATGGTACCTTGGTACTGATGTCTTGTAAACTAAGGTGTGTTGAGTCTGTGTGGGCCTGCCTCTCTGTCCTTTAACCTCACCCTGACTGTCCCATCTATCTACAACAGGAGGCACGACAGTGGCCGACCCCTTCATTGACTTCATGCCAGGTGAGGAAGACTGCGTCCATCTGCTCCCTTGTTTACTGTTCTCATCTTTCACTTCTCCTCCTCTGCTCACCTTCTGTCTTCTCCTCCCTTTTCTACTTTAACTCTCAAGTCCAGCTTGAACTGTTTTATTGGCAGATGTATAAATAAATGCACCACTGCAGGGTTGCAGGATCAGTACATTAATTCAGTCAATGGTCCGATCATTCAGTGTCACCCACAGCAACAGTACTGATTGCAATCACAGAGATCAATGAAACTGGCTTCCGTGGAGTAAACGGCTTTTTCATCTCCCCAGTTCACAGATGAGACTCTTCCCTGACACAACTGGACTGCAGACAGAGGGAGAGAAATTTTGATAGATTTGCAATATTATTTATATTGTCTGTTCCTAATAGTGTTTTTATATTTGTCAATCAAACTGAATTGATTTGCCTGGAGAACACAGATGGAGTCAGAAAAGAGAGAGATCAAGACATGCTAAGAGAGAGAAAAGCCCAAAAGAAGTCAAGTCAGTCTTTACAGTATTTAGCCCAATATCACAAAACACAAATTTGCCACCTGGGGCTTAACAGTGTGTGCAGCATACAAGGCCGTCTGCTGAATCATGAATTCCCCAAAAAACTCCCAAAAATCCTCTAAGGGAATAAAAACCTTTTAATGGGAAAAGACAAACTTTAAGAGAGCAGGAAAAAGAAATAAACAAAAACTGATTAAAAGTTGTTGTTCTTATTGTTAAAAGCAATGAAACATTGCTCCAAACACAGCTGGTTATTTATGCCTGTGTGGTTTTCTTATTTGCTGTGTTCCGCTTGCTTGAAAAGAACAGCAAGAGTTGGCTGAATATCAGACTGAACTTCTTGATGAGCTGCATCTGTCCACACCCATTTCTAAACTTTTTGACTTGTGACCCCTCTGAAGCTAAAAAATATAAGATTTTATTGATCCACAGCTTATGTTTAAAGTTCAAACCACCCAAAATATCCAATTTACAATAATAAATGTCAAAGAAAAGAAGTAAACCTGCTGGAATCAGAATTGTTTGGCATAGTTCCACTATTTTTACTTGAAAAATGTTAATCAGTTATCAAAATAGTTGCTGATTATGTTTTTGCCCGTTGACTAATTGATTAATGAGCTATTTGTTTTAGGTCTAGTCCTATGAGTTTTGTATGAAACTGACAATGGTAGAGGGTGCCGCAGCAGAAGGGAAACTGGCGAAGCATTAGCTACGCTTGCATGTAAGGCAGCATTTAAAGCCAGGTTGAGCGCTTTCTTTTGGTCACCTGGCTTTTTCTTCTGCATGAACATCTCAGCAACATGTCACAGTTTATTGTCCCTGGTGAATACACCAGTTTCAATTCATTTGTAAAAAAAAAAAACTGCCAGCTGAAGGAGGAGAGAGATAAATAGGCAGAGGTAGAAAAATGGCAGCTGTGACACAGAGACAACAAAAGGAAAGATAGGAAGAGCCACCGAGAGGAATGAATAGAGGTGAGAGGGAGAAGACTCACGGTGAGAAGAGATGGAGGCAAACAGAGAAAGGGGGGTGATGTTAAGAGAGAGGAATGGAGGTGTAGTGAGAGAATAAAGCCCTCTTGGGTCTCAATTAACTGAGCCAAAGCAGTGCATGAAGACAGCTTGGGGTTGGAGGGGGGTTGCCAAGCAGCTCCACGGTCATCTCTGCCTTCTATTAGCCTTTCAGAAACAACATGTCCAGTGTTCAGAGAGGTCTGCATTCGTTTGGATGCTGGGGTGAACCGCCGCTGCCAGTCGACTGCTGGGACAGGAGAGAAAAATGGAGGGAGATGTAGTGTTTTTTTTCTGTCTGGGTTTCTTTAGGGGGCCACATCCGCATGTTGGTGACACCACACCCTCCACTGTGGAACTTCCCACCATTCCACTCCTGCCCTCTGTTCTTGTGCTGATCCCAAACACATGTCGGCGCTGTTTTCTATCACTACTGATGTCTCAGTTCCTGTGTTTCACTGAGGCTGAGGAGGAACATGCTGTGCATATCATAACTGTCTCTGTCTTTCTCATTGTATTTCATCTGTATAAGCCTTTTTGTGTTTTCCACAAGCTACACAGTCTCTACTGACTGTACAGTAAAGTAGGAACAGCTTCTTAATATTGATGTTACAAGCCTTGTTGCTTCTCCTTCAGGCCGTCTCCTTTCACCTTCCAGACTAAAGCAGCATATGATCATAGTTTTTAGTCTTGTCACTGTAAAACTTTGGAAAGGTTTTACAGCTGTTTGACATATAACAGCTTGACATATAACGCTAAGTGTCCAGCGTAACACTTCTGGTATAGCTTGACTTGTTTTACAGGAGTAAATATGGCATTAGTTTAGCACAAAGAGCAGTGCAGTATTTTCAAAAACACAGAAAAAACACAACCCAGCCAGTACTGACGTAGTCAATCGATCAAAATTAACTACAACTTTAATAACTGATTCAGCGTTCCAGAGAATTTATTTATTAAGAATTTGTAGGTTTCAGCTTCTTACTACTTTATTGTCACTTGCAGCATACGTGTGGTTCGCCTGTAACTTTGACTACTCATTGTTCTGCGGCTGGACCAGAGAGAGTGGGACCGGCGCTGAGTGGCTCATCCAGGCTAACGGGGCTCCTGCCGTCCACAGAGGACCAACCCATGACCACACAGGTGGGAGACACACATTCACTGCTGTGGTCAATTTTTTTAACCCACACCACTGCACAGATGCTCTGAGAGAGCACTCTGTGACTCTCCATGTTATTGCACAGCTGCTGAAAAGCCTGACTACACCTATTTTCCTGGAAGATGAAATATTTTTAACAAAGCCTTAAACAATACATTATGTCCTGAGTGCTGCTGGGAATTCACAACTGTACATCTGCTTAAAAAGGATAATATGCCTATGATGTAAAAAGAAATTCCTGCTAGACACATAACCTCATTATCACAAAAACGTTGTTTTAGAGAAGATTTGCCTCAGCGTTCAAACTGAAGGTAGCGCACGGTTTTGCCTCAGCACTAATAAGCAGGACCATCTTGCATTATTTTTCTTAGGAAATCATTACTGAGGTTAATTTTTTTTTAAGATCACCAAGATAGTCAACAGTAATAATGAGTTAGACAAATTACACCAGACAGATGGCACAAGACCCACCTCAGAACCAGAATCAGAAAAGCAACTGTAAAGTGATGATTACATTTTCTGATACATTCATACAAAAGGCTAAATGGTACCTTAAAGTAGCCCAGAGCTGTCTAAAGGCATAAAAAATAAGCATGACCCATTCAAAACCTAATGAGGCTAATTCTGAAATGCACCAAAACATTAGCAGCATTACAATGAAACAGAACGCTAATCATAATCCTGTACAAATGTGTTGTATATCCACTGAATGAACAGAACAGGACTCAGATATTCTGAGCTTTAAAACCTTTTTCAAAATGAATAGCAGTCCTTCAAACACTTGACTTTTTAACAAATGCAGCACTCAGATTCAACATCTCTCAGCTCTCTGGCCGTGTCTCCATTCAAAACTCTTGTGACGGATGGTTGCATAGAAACAGCAGCATCTCCAGAACAAATGATTTCACCTTGATTTCTCGACTTAACCAGATTACATGTTTAAAAAAAAGAGCTCCCTCTGATGTTGAGTCAAATCCTTTGTTTTCAACAGGCCCTTGAATTTGATGCCCTTGGGAGCTGCGGCGGCGTAATGCTTATAAATCTATTCTCTTCATGAAAAGGCAGTGAAACCCTGGCAACAGACAGATTTCTACATTATGCAAACAAGTGAATACTCTAAAGTGAATCCATAATGAACCCTCTGAAGTTTTGGAAACCTTTCATTATTAAACTAGAGGCTGGTATCAATCATATGGAGGCTTGTGTCCACACAAAATCAAGTGTCTTACATTTCTTTATGGGTAAAACGCAGCGTTTTAAAGAGCTAGAATCTGCAGTAACGTGTATAATGTGAGTCATTTAATGCACCACACAGGCACTTCTTACCTTGATTTATGCTGCCCCCTGCAGGCGCACCGGGGAACTTCATCTACATGCAGCTGATTGATTCAAACACACCAAGCAAAACAGGCGAAGACGAGGATGAAGAGGAGAAGGTGGCGAGGTTGGCCAGCCTGCCCATCACGGCGCCAGACACCGACCTGTGCATGTCCTTCTGGTATCACATGTTCGGTGAACACACGGGGGCGCTTCACATCAAGCAGAGGAAGGAGGCAGAGGCGGGGCATATCCTGTGGACAGTCAGCGGTCATCAGGGCAAACAATGGAGGGAGGGAAGAGTTTTACTGCCACACTCAAGTGTCACATACCAGGTAATAAAAGGTCAAAAGACTGCACTGAGCTCTGGGTCTGTACTGTGATTGAATATTTTTTATCCTATTAAAAAGGTCAAAAATGCCAATCAGTGGTTCCCAGACAGTGTTTGCAACTTTCTTTTTCCATCAGTCATAAACTTTATTGCCAAATATGTTAAAATACAAGGAATCTGACTCCAGCTCAATGGCCCCTGATGTGCACCAAAGAGACCAGAATAACAAGTAAAAACAGAAGACAGGCAACCATCTATTGATAAATATGGACATATAAAACTTTAAAACGAGCTATTTGGTATGTACAATGATTACACAGCATCTATAAATTATTGGACTGTAGCCCCGTCCAGAGGGGAGGAGTTCAAACAGTTTGTGTCCAGGGTGTGAGGGGTCTGCAGAACTCTTCTCCACCCTCCTTTGTAACTATGTGATTTCTGTCCCTTTGTTAGCATAATTTTAGTGATGTAAAACAAACCCTATGTAGTTATTGTGATTTAAAAAGGCGTTGTAGCAAGTTTCACTGTGTACTACAACACTGAAATATGCCTTCAAGCTAAGATTTGCTTGGTTTGTTGATTAGTTTTAAACAGACGTCTGTCATGTAGCTTAAACCTCCTGTTTCAGTTAATTCATGTGACTGTGTCATTTGCAGGTGGTGGTGGAAGGCGTTGCAGACAAACACAGTGCAGGTCGCATAGCTGTGGACAACATTCAGATCATGGATGGACTCAAGGCTGAGGACTGCAAGGGTATGTGTTAGATGTCACATATACTACACCGTATCCTTATACTGTAGTAGTCTGGCAACAGCTCTGAAATCAGCTGACATGTTCTAACAGAGACTGCTCTTCTTCTTTCCTCTAGATCCACAAGCGCCGACGTCTCCACCCACTGAGATCTTCATCCTACGTATGTATACCCCTGCCTCTGGTTTTGTAATTAGGGTGTCAGTATGTTCATTTTGGCAGCACATACTTACACTTTAATGGTCACATCTCACCAGACTTAGCAACAGTATTCAGATGTTGCCTTTACATAGTAAAATTGAAAAATATTACCTTTTTAAAAAGTGTGGTTGGTGAGTGAAATTGCAACTATTCATTACAGGTGCATTAACTAAGATTTTGCACATTGTCTGATAAATCCAGTGACAGTAGGACAGGACATGGTGTCTCTCAGCTCTACTCCCCCCTCCATGACCCTCTGCTGCCTACAGCCCTTCTGTTGTTGTTCCAGCTTCTCTAGCGTGAGTTGTCAAAGTACAGTCTGTAAAACTGCCCCACCTGCAGCCTAGCAGAGGTTAGAAGAAGGATTTCTCAAACGGTGACAGTCAATTCAAACATCCAGCCATGGAGGAGCTCTGGGCAGCTAAAAGCCTGACACAGCGGCTGACATTGAGACATGGAGAGGGTTAAAAGCAGCCAAAGGACTCAGATTTGATTCAGATGTGGCGTTCTTCTTATGGATGTGTTAGCATCTAAAGCTAACCTGTTTGTTTTAGTAACATTAGTGAGTGAGAATGGTCATGATTTTAGCTTTGTGTTGAATTAATGTGATTTTAATTTAAGAGTAATTCAAGTTTTGTGTAACGTTAGTGCTTTGTGCATTAGCAGTAACCGGAGCGTTTTAGTGGACTGACACATTTACTTCGTCAGCTAATGTTAGCTTCAGACCAGAGGCTGCATTCTGAACAGTTTGTCCCAAACAGGCATCTGTAGTTTCTGAGCCACACAACATGGTTTTTTTTCTATCTTTAAGGATTACATTAATGCATTTCTGTGTTTTTAGTTTATTATAGAGAACAGCTGAACCTTATTTGTTTTTCTGTGAAAGTTATTATATGGTGAGATTACAGAAGACCTGGCGTTCAGGATGTAAGCGTCAGCTGCCATTATACATGACATTCACAGGTTTTAAAAGGATCAGTCACAACCAAAAGTCAAGTACAGGAGAAACTGAATCTTGCATTTGTATTTTATGGTGCAGAATATGTAAAAACACCAGTGTGGCTATTTAATTAAAAGCCTGTCTTTTATTTGAGTAGAATATGATTTGTGTCCATCTCTCTCTGTCTTGCAGCAATGGACTCCCACTCACAGGAGAACAGTGAGCTCGGGGGCCCCGGCAACATGCTGAAGACCCTGGACCCCATCCTCATCACCATCATCGCCATGTCCGCGCTGGGCGTCTTCCTGGGCGCCATCTGCGGTGTTGTCCTGTACTGCGCCTGTTCACAGGGCAGCATGACGGACAGGAACTTATCTGCCCTGGAAAACTATAACTTTGAGCTTGTGGACGGAGTGAAGCTAAAGAAGGACAAGATGAATGGACAGACTAACTATTCAGAGGCATGAGGGGAAAAGAGAGACAGGGCTGATGTTGCTTTGCATGGACACTCATGCATCCAATCAAGCAGAAGGAATGCAGGGCTGAGGCCATCAATGGGACAGCAGGGTGGGCTGAAAGTGAGCAGATGTAATTTTATTTCTCAGGAGCGGCAATGGAAGGGACTGACCTGTAGGGGGCACTGTGTATAAAGAATCTGTACAGCATAAAAAGAAGAAAACTAAGGATTCTATTTGTTTTTTCTTTGGCGTGCTTTGTTGATTTTATGTAATCACATGCTGGTGTTGAGACCAATTCAGATGAAAGTATCATTTGTGTACTTTTATGAAAAGATAAGATTTGGTTATTTGTTGTTTTTGTTGTTTTTCTTGTCTTTGTTTTTTCAGATGCCATAGTTTCACAAAAAAGCAGAGTATGTGAAATTTATTATTCTGATATCTGGCTCTTCAGCTGGCCATATGTCCTTGTGAGTGTGTGTGTGAAAGTATGAGAGTGTGTGTACGTCTCACATTCATATACATCTGCTTTTACATAGAAGGTTTGTATGCGTTATTCAGTCTAGCTGTAGGCATGTTTGTGCACGTTACACTCATGCTTCTTTGTATACATGAAGTGTGTGTGTGTGTGTGTGTGTGTGTGGCGGGTGCCATCCTCACCCGCTGACCTGTGTCTAGTTCCAACAGTGCCTTTTTTTCCTCCAGTTTTTCTGTTGCCTTGTTTTCTGCTGGTTGTTTTTTCATGGGTTAGCATTCCCTCCAGGGTTCCTACACAAACCTGCAGGAAAAAATCAGTATGATATATTTTGTACTTTTTACAGATTGTGATGATACATACAGCTACATTTTTGGTGTTGCAGTGTACTGTCGGATCACATATGTCGGTGTAGGTCTGTAGGTCTTCTTACCTTGATGACAAGGACTAAAATGTTAAAGTCTGAGTTAATGTTTAGGCTTTGGAAAACTTAAAATCTGTTTAATTTCCAAATGGAAAATGTGTAGGAGCCCTGAATGCCTCATTTTCATGGCACATGACACATCAAACATATTGTACATAGGTTTTAATATATTTGAGCACCCACTTTTCTTTTTTTTTTATAGAAAAAGACCCCAGTGCTGCAGTATCATTTCAGTTTTGAACTCAAACATAATCTAATCATCACAGTTCAGAAAATGTACAGAAAATATTAATTTTAACAGACAAACACAAACCTGTTTGTTTCTTTCTTTTTACAAACTAGACCTTTTTTCCTTACCAGTTTTGTTATTGTGTCCTCAGGAGGGTTGGAGGTTATGGAGAAACGCTGCCAAAATGTCTCACGGGATGTGTTGTTTTGTGTACAGGGTAAAACGGACAACCTCAGTACCACTAAAATGCAGAAACAGATCATCAGGACTTAAATGTTTTTCAGTGCTGACAGCTGACGCTCCTCAGTGGCGTGCAAGGTGACTGTTAAACCTTTAAGCTGAAGTGTGTCCGGCGGTTCTCAAAGCCATCACAAAGACTTCGGCGTCTCTCCTTGGGTCCAACAGCATATTTATGAACGCTGATCAAGAATTAATGTTTCCCATGATGATGCTCTGCTCTGTGTATTATCAAAGTTGACTGTCAGAGGAGAAACCTTCAAGAACCCTTAATCAAGCATAATGACGTTTAGCAACTAACAAAAGCAACGCTGATCATATTAAACAACTGCTGCTCATACACACACGTCCACTGAGTTAGTGCTGAGTTCACAAGTGAACAGGGACTTGACAGAAATGTTCAATAAACTATACAGCTAATATTTTAATTTTCTTATTAAAAAATATCTGAAAACTAGGTTTTAAAAAAGATCATGTGCATTGAAAACACATCCTTTTTTGTTTTTGCAACAGGAATTTCAGCAAATCTTAGGTCTGTCAGCTCCTCAGATCCTGAATATGAATTAGTTTAAACTGACTGGAACCATCTGAAAAATCTGGGTATTTCTCCAAGAACATTCATTAAAGTGGAAAATGATGAGCCTTGTGCTAATAATACAGCTTTATTGTGTTTTTGTATTTGCAGCTAAATATGTTGTGAAACTGGTTGCTTGTTTATAACACCATATAGATGGAAGCCAGAAATTTCACCAGTCACTAACTCTTCAACAACTCTTTGATATTAAACAGGGCAATTCTTACTTAATGTTCTTTTTGTTGTGCAAACCTACATATACTGTACTTGCCTTGCACTGTGGAAGTTCAATCTGCCCATTCTTAATGTAGCATTAAGTGGCATCATGTGAGCTAAAAATATGAAGCGAAGCTGTTTGTCAGCCATTAATTTACCATCAGTTCACAGTTCTTTCCTTTTAAAGTGAGACAGAGACATTTACCCCTGTTGTAATCCCCATTCAGCGCATTTTAAAGCTAATTGTAGTCTGGTTTCAGTAATGACTGAGCAAATATTTTCAATCAAATGAAGGTGCTCTGGCTGTGAAATGCTGTTTTTCAAAATTACTCACTTTTGGTTCAGTCGTCAATAAAATATCAAGTGCACCGGACATGGGTATGTGATTTTACAGTGATTCAGCCAGATATCAGTGAAGCTCCTTCCCCACTAAAAAAGAAAGGATGCTGCAGCACTAGAGGTGAAAACATGTTGCACTGATATATTTTAAAAGAATCTGTGTTTATGATGTTGATTTATGAAAAGAAAAAGAAGAAAGTAGAGGACAGTGTTACTGATACTTTTTTCTAACACAGTTTCAGATGACAATGTTACAATTCTGAAATGTACAATTTACAGAGATTTTCATTCTTGAAAAAACTTCTATGCGTCTCTTTGAAACGTAACGGTTTTATTTACTTTATTTTCCTTGTCTTTTTGTACTGTCAATGATGTACGTGCCATTGTTTTGTTTGTTTTATTTTTTATTTTTTGTTTTTTTTTGTATGACAAGTAAAAAGTTTTATTTTCAATATTGCTTCTGTAATTTTGTTGTCTCAAATCTAGAAAAAAATCAAGAAAGGAAATAAGGAAGTAAAAATGGAAAAGCAGTGAGGCCTTATGTGACTACAAGTATTGTTTGTACTTTGACTTTCTGGTCAGCACCCAGACTCATTCGTCTCTGTTGTCCCAGACTCTGATCATTGACTATTAACATTCCAAAGAATTGGATCAAATAAATGTTTTAAGTAAAAGCTGCTCTTCTGTTTCATTCCTGAATGAATAGAATGTTTTAAAAGGTTAGTTACACACCTGGTGTCTGATAAGCCAGTGTTTTAGTTTAATTTGCCTGTGGTTTTCACTGGAACTACAGACTGGTGACAAATGAAAGGAAAACCCAGCATAAAGTGTCTTTTGTCATCCTTCCACTGCCACCAGGAACCATCCTGTACCCACACTGTACTGGGGTGTGTGTTTCATTTGTCTCAGAAACAGACTGTGGTGGAGATGCTGTCTAATACGTTGCTCCCACATCTCCCAAAGGCAGTCAACTGAAGAGAAAGAACTTTATTGTCATTATATGAACGGTACACAATGAAATTGCACTTACAATTTCTCTCTTGTGGTACAAAAAACTCTGTATCATACATTGACTATTTGATGTATTATTAATACTGATATTTTGTCTAACAGTATTTTTAGCTATTTATAAATTAACCAAGCTAATAAGATTAATCAAACTGATAAAATAAACCATGCTATTAATAAAATTGACAGCTATGGGTAAATAACAGCCACACTATAAATAAAATTAACCACACTATTATAAATACATAAATGAATGATAAAGAAAATAATGCCAACATCTCTAGTGAACCAGGTTCGGTTGGACAACTGCCCTGGCGTAAGAAGTGTTCCTCACTCTGTGGGTTCTGGTGTGAATTCACATTATTTTCATACTCAGCAAACTATTCAATGACTCCTTGAGTCCTTTGGATGGCATTGTCATTGTGGAAGACACCACTCATGTTGTTCAGGTTTGTCCTTTAATTTGTCATCCTTCTATATTTTGTGGAAGAAATACTTATTGAAAATAGCGTGGTCTTTGGATTACCTAAAGAAATGTGGACATTTTGTCAACAATGAGATGGTGGAAATATTTTATGTATCCTTTTTAATACGGTGAATATGACATATAGAATTCTAGTCATTGTTTTGAGATGGAGGCAGAAATCTCAAAGCTTTATCAAATAAAACCCAGATAGACAGATTTTATAGGATGTGCTAAGTGCAAGCCTCACTGTTTTGTGTTTGCTATACCATACTTTGACCACAAGGTGGCGGTATATGACGATGATGATGATAAGAAATGATAAAGACCTTAAAGTGGTTCCTGTATGGTCTTGTCTGCTTTTCAATTAGGAGCACTGTGCCAAAACATACAAGATGTGATAATTACACAATACACTGTGGACTGCCAAATACATTTCTGTTCAACCGCATTATCCCAAACAAGCAGCGGCAAGCGCTGTTGGATGAATTAAATTACATTCTACCACTGGCCTCATGACTGGTTGAGAGTATTCTAAAAGTCAAAGTACAAGAGCCAACTAGGTACATTGCCTCAGCCTTTCCATCCAGTGTGCTCCTAAGTAGAACAGTGGTCATCACAGAGGATTGTGGTCATGTTCGCTTTCCTCAGGTATGAATATGAATACTGAAAAAGAGTACTTGGCTCAATGTTCCTGGAGGGATTACCAGGAGTAATGATGCAGGGTGACAGCGTGGTGACGTAAAGCTGTACTTTACAGATAGTGACATCATGTGTCATTTGGCCAGCTGGCACAATCAGCTGTTGAATACACCTCACACACTGAGGCTGATAGAGGTTACATGTGGAGTGATGAACATCAGAACTTAATTCCTTCACTGCTTCACTCTAAGAAAGGAAAGTGTACACTTCAAATAATAATTCTGTTTGCTACACAATATAAGTGCAAGATATTAGCACAGTTGAAACAAGAATCCAAGAAGAACACAGCTGACAGTCTTTTGTATTTTAGTGCTTGTATATGTATGGATGGATGGATGGTGTATATGTGCCTGAGAACTCTTCTTAACTAGTCCAGTACATCACAGCACATTTACAGAAAAATATTGTTTATATTTGTGAATTTGTGGGTGTTTATGTGCTGTCAGTGTGTGTTAAGTGTGAAGTGGGACTCCACCACATCCGAGGTGAGGACGGGTTCACCGCTCTTTGATAGTTTGTTCCTTTGCCCTATACGTACCGCAGCACTTCCTGTATGGGCGGGGTCTAGGTTGAAGAAGGGGTTTGTTAAACTGGGGCATAAAAACGATTCGGCAGCAGCATCAGGGACGGTGGGGTGGTTGTCGTTCCTTCTTTAGGTTTAACATACCATATGTAGATAAATTTCGTTTTTAATAAAATAGCCCCACCATCTGCGTTTTAATCGGTAGCGAACTTGGCAGTTGGCACAGAGGAGCGGGGTGGTCATTAGCTAAAACAAAGCGGACCCTCTTAGTTTTAGCTCGTGTTCGCTTCGTTAGCCTTTTCTTATCTTTAAACGAGGACAATTTGAGGCAAATGTTGCTCTAATAAACGGAAACGACATTAAAGTATCATTGTACGGTAAGTAATGTAATTTTAACCTATATTTGTCACATTTAATCGGTGTGTTGAGCAACAAAAGAAGCACAGAAGCAAAGAATTCATGCCCGCAGGGGAAAACTTTGGGTGTGGATTAAGGATATCTTGCTAGCGACCGTTATTTTACTTTCCCCAGAGTTTTACAGTACTGTTGTCAGCAACGTGGTCTGTGAAGTATTGGTATCTTTCAACCCACAGTTCAGCTGTTACTCCCTAACAAATGTTAACTTGGGCTTTGCAGAAAGTAGGCCACCGGGCCGCTTTGTATGACCGAAGATGGCAGTATGGGCGATTAAAGCACGAGAGAGTGTGATTGATTAGCTATGGAGAGACTATTAATACCATTTTAATCGTATTTACCCTCATTCTCGTTCGATCACAGGCGCTTTACAGATCTTTCTTGGCGTGTATAAATGTAGAAACATATTAAAAAAGAGAGAACCGTGTTTACAAAAGTGGATCTGTAACTTATTAAATCATATTTTGTTGCTGGAGCTGCAGCTATTAGTGACTCAGAGAAAGGTAATAAGCAGCTATTTTGATAACTAGTAGGGTGTAAATATCTATAAAATCGTTTTCTTAATGATTTCAAAATTATTAATCTTTTTTTCCTTCTTCTGAAAAGTGAACATTGTATTTCAAAGTAGCTTGTGCTTTTGAGGCCTGGGGTTAAAGCAAGACCCTTTTGTTTAACAAGACCTGGATGTTTTCAACATTCGTTTTTGCACATGTACAGAAACAGCTTGTCATTTAAGACTAACTTCCTAAGTTGTATACATTTGGGCAGAAGGTGCCTGAAGAACAAAACCAAATGACTTCTTTTTCAAGTCTCTTTAGAATCACAAACATTTGAATGTAGTGAGACTTGTAAAGAATATCTTGAAACAGACCACAGCTGGACCTCAGTCTGGTCAAGCCACCTTATGGACTGTATCAGGGATCCAGACTGTTAGTGATGGCTCATTTTGTGACCAAATTTATTGTCTTCCATATGTCCCCGTCTTTCTGAATTTCATTATAAAGTGTAGGCTGTGCACATTGGATGGCAAGGTTATTAAAAATAATTTGTGAAAAACTCGGATTCTTTTGCATTATGATGTAAAACAGAGGTGGTGCCACCATAATTTGGCACTGGTGCCTCATCTGAGAGACTTGGCAGCCCTTTGCATAAACTGTGGCTTGGGATACGCTAAGACCAAGATGTCTTACAAAAAGCCAGACTGGTTAACCAACATCTAGCCCACAGCTGTGTTTCAGGACCTTTGACTATGCAGTTGGACAGGATTGGTCTTGCCTGGCTTGTTTACTTCCTGTAAAGCAATTGCAGCCAGAGGGGGTGTTTTTTTTTTTTTTTTTCTTTCTCGTGAATCTCGGGGAGGGAGTTGATTTGTTGGGACTCAGTTAAACTAGCAATCTATGTTCAGCAAGTTCTTATTTAGCAACATGGGAATAAAATGCCATGGGTTAATTACTACCCTGCTTGGCTTAGGGCCACCATCATAATGATGTAGCAACAGTGTCATATCGAGGTGTAATAAAACCTGTCTGAGTTCATAAAGTCAAGCAGATAACATACACTGGGCTTGGTTTTTGTGGACCTGAGTGAGGGGACATGTCTGTAGACCAGAGGAGGTTCCCTGTAGATCAATGAGTCACTTCCCTTAGTTACATTGTTGTGAGGTTTGAACACGGTGAGTAATGCTGGACTAGGAGCGAGGAGCGTTCGAGCAGTTTGAAGGGTCAGTCAGCGTTACCCAACACCAGGCTCGTTCCCTGAATGTCAGATATGAGTCATGGATGATGGCACTTCCTGCTGTGGCCAGACAAAGCATGTGGGAGAGATGGATATGTTTGTCCCTCTTTCCCGTGGTAAAAATGTTGGAAGTCACATCAGGAAACATGGGAAATGCTGCAAGAAATGGAAGAAATGCAAAAATATACAGGTTTAAACCTGTCAAAATTATTATTTGTGAGCATCATCTTTCAAACAAGCATAGTAGTTACAGGATCTAAAATCAAGCTAAGAGGAAGACCAGGAGTCATTTTAAAGCTCAACGACAGGGGTGTCAGCAAGTTTCAGGGCCAAATTTGACCTCATACTCAATGTACTGACTGAGTTGGAAAGGATTTATTTCAATTACCTAGTTTTTCCATGACATAGTATGGAACTTGTTAATGTGGAATGAGTTCTCTCATCTCTCTGGCGAGGACCTATGGGGCCCGGGATCTCTTCCATATGGCAGACAACCCCCAAACAGGGCTAAGTTAAACACTTCCTAGAGTCGATCTGCTGTATCAGCTGAGTATATAACATGTCTGAGACTTTCATTTGGTGGTTTTGAACATGGTTTTTAGATGATAAACATGTTTATGCATGTCAGAATTCTTGCATCTTGCTTATTCTACTTCATTGGCCACTGAAAGGTTAGGTTGAGTGGTTTTGATACTTTTGCTTTGATTTTCCTTTTGGTGTATTGATAAGGCAGGGATCTAGAAAACCCATAAACACCTTGAACATTTTTTTTTAAGTCAACTGGATAAATCAGATATCACTACTGTCTCAGAACACATTTCTGTTCTGATGCTTTGCCTCAAAAACATAAAGAGACAAGCTTCAGCTGTGAACATCTACTCTGACAGCCATTGAAGTCCAGTATCGGGCCTCGTGGCAGATGTTAGCTGGATACAGGACGTGTTCCTGTATGTTGGTTGATTTCCTTCAAACATGCCCTGTTTGCAGTCAGAAGTGAAGTGTTTGTCCTGGCAAGGAGCAAAGCGGTGCCTGGGTGTGGTTAGATTAAGGAAATGGATTCAGGATCTGCTGATTTGTTCGGGGACCCAGTGGGCCCAGGGTGGACTGTGACTCTCAGCAACAGGTGGGAGCCGGCTGGCTGACTGAGCTGCAAACAGCTGAGGGGGATGGGCCGCCTCAGTCACTCATTCTGTGGACTACCGGACCCACCCAGCATGAACAATGCTGACTTGTGTCGAACACTTACTTTCACGTTGCTCTTTCTTTGCCTTTTAGTGCAGTACTCATCATTTGGGTACACCGGGATTCATTTTGTGACATCTGTGAGATGCACAGAAGCCAATATCATTTAGGTCAATTCTGAAGCTGAAATTCCAGACATTTCCTTTTTCTAGCTTTTCAGGTGGGAGGGCTGCATGTTTGTTGTACTGTTGGTTGCACAGAACAAGCAATTGGAAGATCTAACATTGGGCTCTAGGAAATCTGCAGACATTTTATATTAAAAACCGATTTAAGTAAATTGGCAGATGGTGTAGTTATTTGCTTTAGCCTTGACTCCAGTGTCTGAATAGTTCAGTTTAGAGTAATCCATTAAAATTAGGTGCATGTATTATTTACAGTTGCATTTGCCAGAGACGTTGTTGTGCAGTGTTGGTCTTTGCAACATGTGCCACCTGGCTATAGTTAGCAACACAGCAGGCCATCAACATGCAGAAATCACGTAGCAGTAAGAAGGACAAAAAGTCTAAGAATCAGTATTGGAAATACTGGAAGTAACAGTGGGGATACAGGTCCAGTTATAGTTACTGTATACAATTTAGATGTACAGTATTTAAACAACATGCAAGTTCTCATGGTTTTCGTGTGAAAAAGGCACCCAGGGTCAGTGCAGCACAGTGTGGTTAACCTCCTGAAACTAGGAACCACTGAGAAACCATCTCGAGCTGTGGTAGTTTTTGCAACCACCTCGTGATAGTTTACTTCCAGTTTAATTTGCCTGATGCATGCACACAGAAAAAACTGTGGACATTAGATGTTTGCGTGTTCACAACTCATGCTTAATTTTCTAAAAAAAAAGGCATGCTTTAATTTAGCTTCTTGTTAGGTGTACCAACAGTATCTTGCATTAAAATTTGCACTCCAGAGTGGGGTGAGTTGTTTTAATTGCTTGTTTACTGACAGATACTTCTTAACTTCAGTCACAACTAAAAATCAAGCACCAAACAACATTGGATATTTTCAGTTGTTTGGATACATGTCATATTATTCTATCAGTGTAGATTAGGGGAAACTGTGCATCAGCAAAACATATTGAACAGGAAGTGTGGTCTCTAGTTGTCTCTTGTTATGTTGATGTTTGTCAGAGGTAGGTGCAAAAATGTGTTGAAGTAATTTCTAATAACATATTCAGTGTTTTATGCACATTTCATTTTTGTCCTCATAAAGTTTATACAGCAGCTTAAATTTGTCTTAATACCAAAGTTAAAATCTTTGTGACAGCAATATATGTATAAACTGTAAACAAGCTGCACGGTGGAGGAACATTATCAGGTCTGTTTGTTGATCTGTGGTCGACCACAGTCTAAGCACGGACTTTGTTAAGGATGATTAAATACTGACAGCTGTCCTCCGCTCCGCTTTCAGACAACACCAGCCTCATACGCTCACAACTGTGAGCTGTGATAACAAGTCACGGATGTCAGGAAGTTTGATCCTCTGCACACTTAAACACCTGAACACCAGCCACATACTAGCTACATATATCTCTGGGCCTGTGCACGACTTTGTGTTTAAATTTGGCTATTGTGTTGGCTCTTAAGAAGCAGATCTTGTTTACACATTCAGAAACTTCAACAAAGCATGACAAAATACTGGATTGAGTTATTCCTTGCTTTTAAGGCAGGTTTTACTCTTGTAGTATTGTGATGAGCTGCCAGTAACAGTGTCGTCTTAGGAAAATGCTTTAATATACATTGTTCTGAGTTACTGGGGGAAGGTTGGTCTCCTTTGTGGCCAGAAGACACTTATAGAGAGACAGATTTTGCAGCCTGACCCAACAAAACTTGAATTGTAAATGAAAAACAGTGACGCCAACAATCGGCACCACTAACACAAAGCATGTGCCGTCTGTCTTCTTCAGTCTGACCATACAAAGTCACGATCCAATAAAGTTTACTCCTGTTATTCTAAATATTATCTGTCATCGTGACCACTTGTAGGCCATGGTTTCTACTTGACAACAGCAAGAGGGGTTCAAATGGAGGAAGAGTAGAATTTGTAAAAGAAGAGTAAGAAAGACACTGCTCACAGTCATGTATGTGGTCATCCCTTATGATTTGACTTCACTGGCTTTTCTTTGACTAATTATTTCACAGCTTTTTTTTTTTTTCCATATATAGTATCAGCTCAACTGTGTGCTTCCTTAGTACTGGAGCTGCTGCTGTTAGAGCCATTACACGCCTGCTCTTAGACACGTTAGTCACACTGGATAAGACTGAACACTTCGAGCATAAATGTGACTGTTCTCTCTTTTGTACAACTGAACTGATGAAGCCTCTTGGATGAGAGGTGAAACGTCTTCGACTTAAAACCAAGTCCAGTTGTTTTTTGTTTTTGTTTTTTTTATTCTACGTTGTTTGTTTTTTTTTCAGCTCTTTGTACAACATTTTTGTTCCATCTCTTCTCTTTCTTGCCATTCTTACCTGAAATACCCTGTTGAGATAACTAGCTGTGTTTAAATAGGTCTGTAACAGTATGAATGGTTCCAGACTGCAGTCAGAAGTGTGTGCTAAGTATGGTTGTTCATGGAAGTGCTGATGAACTGGCAGCTGATGCCAGCTGAGTGCGGGTACATCATGCCTCCATATTTGGAATAAGGAAAATGAGAAACTGTCCTCCCCTCTGCTGCCAGTAACTGAGACATTTCACCTCAGCATCAGGATCAAGGCTTTACGACGGATAACAGGAGAGGATGACTGCATCAACAGTTTTATAATTTATCATGGTCTTACAGTTATTCAGCCTTTATAGCATTATGAGGTCATAAAAACAGTTCTGAGAGGGGGTTGCTCTCTCAATGATGAACATGTAGAAACATAGTCTCTTTATGTTTACTAATTGAATGTCAGCCAATGTACAGCTGTGTTAAATACTGGACCCAAAACCTGGTATGAAACCACAGTATGTGTGTCTAAAGGTCCTGTCTTTTTCTGTGTTTGTATACTTGGTTGCAATGTGATCACACTTTTACCTCCAGTAGGAATGGCTTTGCTTTTGTTGCCTTATGTGGCAAAGAGCCACACCACAACAAAAGACATGTGATTGTTCCACATGGAAATGTACTTTTCACTGACTGGCAGGCTCCAGACTGTCAGGATTGGCAATAGAATCTCAGCCAGCATTGTTACAAACACTGGCACCCCACAGGGATGTGTCCTCAGTCCCATCCTCTACACCCTGTTCACCCACGACTGTGTCACCTCCCACAAAGACAACATCATCCTAAAGTTCACGGACGACACCGCAGTGATAGGTCGTATCACTGGCAGGGTCGAAGCAGCCTACAGGAGGGAGGTGGCCAGTCTGGTGTCATGGTGCAAGGACAATAATCTTAGCCTCAACACGGACAAGACGAAGGAGATTATAGTGGACATGAGGAAGGAGAGGAGAACTCATCGACCACTGTTCATCCGGGGGCTCGAGGTGGAGATGGTGAGCAGCTTCAAATACCTGGGCGTCCACATCAGTGAGGACCTCACTTGGACACTTAACA